TATAATCTTTAATATTCATTTTTCCTGAATGCAGATCATTTGCTCATTGTAATGGAAGTGCACAGAAACGACAGGCGTTTAAGAATAACTGATCTGAGGAAAACTTAAGTGAATTTGTAAAAATCCCCACTAACTATATGATTGTATCCGTTGTGCTACAGGTGCGCTGTACGACGTCACTGGATCTTACAGAATATGTTTTGTCCTTAACCTTGGATTTTGCCTACTCGTCGCCATGTCCTTTGGAACTTTAGTAATTGTAAGAGAACGTTTCCTAAGAAGACGTGTTTTACATTCAGCAGGCGGAAAGGAGAGTTCATCACAAATACAACATGCTGAAAACGTAACATGGACGAAGAAACCGCGTCTTGAATTGCTATCACGGTTTGCTCAAATACAACTTCAATATAATACTAAATCAGAAGAAAAAGCTCCACTGAAAAAAACAAACTCAGTACTGGAATATTAAATGGGCGGCAGCTTGTCGCTGAAGTGAAGGGGTTTAATACATGTACCTCTATACAGGAAAATTATCTTTAAAAATAAAATATTAACTCAAGAATGAAGTACATCAAAGATAGAGACTACTTTGAATTAAAACAAGGTATACGTTACAATTTCTTAATCATTTAATGCAACAAAGTCGAAGAAAACCCCCAGCCCAAGGTGACAATTACAGCAACTGATCCAGAGTTTGGAACACCCCTCCGAGACAAATCCAGGGGCGGAACCAAGACTTTTCTGAAAGGTTTTCAAATGGTAATAAAATATGACTAGTCGTGGCCAATGAAAAAAAGTCCTCTTGTTTTAAACCTATATCCCTGGACTAATAAAATACGTTTGTACTTTTTCATATGATTTTTTTTTCACTTTTTTTATTTTTTGTTAAATATACGGAGTAGATGGAGATAAGAAGAGATAGGCTTTCTTATAAGCTGCTTTACACACCTTTTCCTCCCAACTATACGAGAATTACAGGGTCGGAACCAGGAATAATGTTGTGTCTTCAAAGGTTCAAAGGTTTATCTTAATCTAAGTAAATACACTGTGTCAGTATTTGTGCTAGCATGGGTTTACCCCCCACATTCCCATTTGAGACCAGTACCTTACACTAGCTTTACTTTCGGGAATTTATTAATCTACGTTCAGTTTGATATAAAACGTATGCATATTGCGCTGGTTCCAGATCGTGTCGATTTCCCAGCCGTTATAATCCGCCGCTAGAGGGTTTTTTTTTGTAGGCTGTAATTGAATTGAGTAAAAGCTAGACTCTATACATGTAGTTTTGTAACAACCTACAGAGACCTCTGGTGGAAGGAAATTTATAATTGCATCTTTTACGACCTATAAACGTTGTATTGGCCGATAACGTCGTTTAATAGGCAACTCGCCTCCCCTGCCTAACAATACGTATGCCATCCAGGCTTCTTGTTAATATTTAACCACGAAGAAGATACTTGCAAATGCACGTGATCCTCTAACCGAGAAAGATAATATAGCAGCTTTAGTATACATAGTACCTGTAGACTAGTGCTGTACTTGTTATCTTTTGAGGTATAATAAAACGGACACGGTTACCACAAGTGTAGCATAGTGACCTGTGAAGCGCGGATTGTCTCGTATTGGGCAGTTGGAAGGAGAAAGCTGTGAGTGTTGTAAGCCGGTGTGGAGAACCCAAGGGTCTGTGTAACAGAGGGTCCGCCCTCCATCAGATTCATAGGGGCCAGGGAGAGTATGACGTAAATAGGACAAAATCAAGGACAGAGCTCAGATCTGTAGAAATCAATGGGCGCCGGATCCTGCAACAAAATGGAATTATCTCGTACTTGTGCACGGCACAGCTTAGACATATTTAGTGCATGCATATACCTATAGCGGCCTCTCTGGCAAAAAGCTACTTCATCCTAATAACTCACGGAATCTCTTGGACTCCAAAAGTATAAGCGAAAGAGTGGGTGAAACATTCTGGTGACCAGAGAGGCACAATTGTGCTTCTCTCTTTATGAGATCTGTACTTTATTTCATTAACTCACAGAATTCCCTGAAGTCCATACGGCTAAACTACTCGTATCTTTTTAAATCGCGTTCACGAGACCGTCTAGAAAGAACGGCGTGTCCGATAATGTATCCATGTATCTCATATCTCACCAAGCTGGGGATCGCAGAACGGAGATAAATAGATAAGTATAATACACGAGGTACATTGCCGCTATAGACACCATTCCATCACTCAGAAAATATGGTTCGTGATGGTAAGAATATGGAGGGTGACAATGGGAAGTCTCCGTCTCTCCATCCTGAGGAGAAGGTTAATGAAACCAGCAGATCTTATCAAGGCTTATCAAAGACGTTCTTAGTGATGAAAACCATTGTTATTACACTAGCTATGGGCTGTGAGGTAAAGTATTTTAGATTGGTAATGTTTGATATTAGGGCATGCATATACAGTTGAATATGCTGTATCTGGTAAAATAAAAAGTAAATCGTTTCAATCCATTGGATACTGAACGCGTTTTATCTATAACGCATGATGTTTCAGCCCGTCAACAAATGTAAAGTGCGTTCTTTCTCTTTGGGAATGATTTTTCCCGTTTTATCATCTTAACACAAAAGATGCTAAGCAAAGTTGCCTTGCTTTTTGGCAAGATTTACATGTATGGTTTAGCAAAAACAGTATCAATTGAAAAGACCACAATACTTCCACGATTAAAATAAGATCATGATCCTCCACTTACAATTTTTCCCGCTCGTCAAATGTGACCGTTCTTGTTATCATCTTTCCAGGGACTGATCCATGGGATGGTGAACCCCACCCTGGTGGACCTGGCATCTCTGTACCAGGTCGACTATGAGAAGATATCTGACGGTCTGACAGGTCGCAGTGTGGGGCTCTTCACGGCGGCTGTGGCAGGGGGCTATTTATATGCTAGGTACTAGAAGGGGTGGTATCAAACACACTATTACCCACTGAGTCTGTATATATCTGTGTCTGGTAAAGCCCCCTTTACACTGGACGGAGTTCTTTCTGCGTCCTGTAGTACGGCCCAGTTTGAGAGTAAAAAAAAAAAAAAAAAAAAAAAAAATTAACGTGCCGACAACTGGCCGATCATTGAATATTCATTCTGCAAGCAAAACTGTGCTTGTGCCTCCTATCTAAGACCACAACGATGCCAGTTTTCATGGTCGCAGAGAGGACGCCTTCCAGTGAAAAAGGGGTTTAAATAACGACCCAGCCAACACACACATCTGGGCCCTACATGGGTCACATATGGGAACCTTTCTTGTGTATTGACTGGGAAGTCACATTCGAAGCCTTGTTATATATTATTATTATTATTATTATTATTATTATTATTATTATTGCATGCTTATTTACCAGTCCTTAAATACAAGCCTTTACCAAGAAGACATCTCTTATCCCCCTGTTGTAACTGCGGTAAGTCGAATGCCATTTGACATGAAGAAAACCTTGACCTACTTCCAGGTTTCCAGACAAACAAGACATCCTGTTTGCCCTCAGCATGTTTTTATTGGGAGCTTCTACCGCCCTTATACCCTGGGCCAATGCCGTACCGCTTCTGGATGTGTTGACCTTCTTGCAAGGGCTGGGATATGCTTTAACAGTGACAGGTACATGTTAGACAAGACACGTGGCATAGTTCATTGATATTCTAATTAAAAATGCGGCCGTTACAATATTAATATAGTGATATAAAATATAATTACCTGCATGCATGGGTGATCTACATGTATTACACAAGCGTTTTGTACCGGTATATATGGCCTAGATTTAAAAAATCGTTACATTTTACCACAATCGAATATCGCATCCATGTTTATTTAGAACAAAACTCCTATAAAAGGTGAAGTATATACACTAGCTATACACACTGTATGTATAATTATAGATCAGTCAGAGACTTGGTTACATTTTAGGAGGAAATCTGGCGTGTATTGAGATGTGGGGCAAATCGGCAATTATTCCTCTTCATATAACTCACGTCGGAGTTGGGGCAGGGGAGACGGTGGCGCCTCTATTGGTCGAACCTTTTCTGGCGCCATTGTGTTCTCAGTATGGTAACACTACACCAGTGGATATGACCACAGCCGCGTATGAAATCCTGAGAGATTATGAACTCCTTAATGAGAAGAAAAGAGGAGCAAACTCTACATTATGTGGACCAACAAGAATCCAGATACCATACGCAGTGGCTGGTGGCATCAGTTGTACAGTCATGGTTTCTTTCTTGGTGCTATATTTATCTAATCCAAAGAGGGCAGTAGCTCAAAAGCGAACAACCACTGAAAGCAACGATGTGCACTGTAAAAGGAGCGTCAAAGCCATCCTCAACCCTGCGTCTTACACAGGTGGTCGACTCTGCTTCGGCGTTCAGTTCCTCGCCTTATACTTCTTTCTGCTATTCGCATATGAAGTGGCAAGAATTCCTTTAAATAGCTTTCTATACGCTATCGCAGTCGAAACCGATCTCCAGTTCACGGAACCCACGGCAACGCTTCTACTTACAGTCTTCGGGGCAGCATACGCTCTGGGAAAAGTCGTCCCTCTTTTTCTGTATCCTTGCGTATCAATACAAGCCATCTTCGTGGTAGAACCGATTTTAGTTTTAACATTTCTTTTACTGTTGACTTTCTTGGGACTTCAGAGCCAGTCTATGTACTGGGTATTTACGTGTATTTGTGCCGTTGCTACAGCGCCGCTGTTTTCAACTGCCTTATCGTGGGTCAATGAATATATCAAAGTCGGGGCAGCCATATCTGCGTTGTCAACTATTGGATACTCTCTTGGAGGTATAGCAGGACAGCCATTGGCTGGATACGTTTATCAGTTTTACGGAGCCCCACCCTTACTGTATATGGCGAGTGGGTGTGCAGCTCTCTCGATGGTTCTCGTGATAACTTTACAGGCGGTTGCCACGTGTAATTCAAACTGCACGTGGTCACAAAATGATGTTGCTTCTAAGGAATCACTGATTAATTGATTTGTGTATATACTTGAGAAACACCTGTGTGGTTATCAAGATGTTAATTTCATAAACACAGCCAAATTTCGAAGCACAAATATGGTCCTGGTGATCTGTTCTGCTGGTATGAAACGATACTCAAAATCACAAACTGAGCTGCATATTTCTTCAAACCTATTTACTAATCTTTATTACTTTATATTTCTGCCTGTCTGTCTGTCTTTCTATCCATCTAGCTATTGATTTAGTTATTAACAAGTGAAGCTGTGTTATATTGTGAGTTGCAACTGTTTCATATATTTGAAGCCAATGTTTGTCTTTGGCGTATAGAATTTTTAAGATATATAACTACACAGAAGGAACCGTTTAACGAGTGGAGCGAGGCGAAATTTTCTAATTCTCGCCCCCCCCCCAGAAAAAAGAAAAAAAAAGAAAGAAAGAAAGAAAGAAAGAAAAGGGAATTATTTGATTACAAAAGCCCTGGGTCCGCCAGTGAAGTAATTATGTGTTTCAACGTCGCCTTTATTCACAATATGTTCATAATAACATTCTTCATTTGTAGTATGCGTCAAATGTGCATCTCTCTCTCTCTCTCTCTCTCTCTCTCCATATACAGCTGTATGAAATGACCCCCTACATTATGCATGCTGTGGCAGTGACAGCAAAGAAATCAAAGGACAGAAAATGCCATGTATTCGGCCGCTCCCTCATACATTGCTATGTCGCATGCCGAGAGCTATTTAACAGTCGCATGAAAACCCGTCCTCTTCCAGCATAACGTGCGTAAATGCATTAGACTCAAACCAGCAGCCTCCATTTAAATAGAAATTCATCATATAAAGGAATGAAAACGAGGTCGCTATGTGGAGTCGTTTATCTAGTGAGGACTCACGAGTCATGGATTAAGGCCATATGCGTACAGAAAACACTCGTTCGAATGGTCAAGGGACAGCCGTTGGAACAGCGTTGTCGCGAGTAAGTATAGACACCATGCTGTTAAGCGTAAAACGTTTAAAATACTATACTGTGGGCAATTACTGTGGTGATAAATATGGAGGACGTCAGACCAATGTAACACACCATATGTGTGGTCTGCAGCACAGTGCTGTACGGGGAGGATGGAGGGGGGGAGTGGCCACGTACTCCCCTTATTTTCGGAGGTACCCCTTTTTCAGCTTTTTCTTCCTGCAAATATCAGTTTAACAAGTGAAATGAGACTAAATATACCAAGTATATGGCACTCAAACTGTCCCTTTTTACAGTATTTATAATCACAAATTGTATCCCTCCTCCCTCAACTGTAGCATGCTGTTTTGATAAAACAGATACTCGTAGACCTATCATACTGACTAATGTCACTGTTTAATCGGTGCATGTTAAATTATGCAGGCATCAATATCATTCTATGCAGATTATACGACCTCAGGTGCATGGGGGATTTAATGGGTTTCGTAGTCTCTCTGTTTTGTTTATGATGCTCTCTAATTTGCATCTGCGAACTCTGACCATTCACCTCTACATGTGACCCATGTCTTCTATCTAGATATTCACATCTGATATGAACTATTTGCGGTTATTATTGTTTTTTATGTTTATAATCCAATATAAGCCTTATTTGCCTGGCTTTATTAATATTTATAGCTATATGAATCGCGTTAATTCGCAGGAATAGAGAAAAAGAGCTATGCTTGAAATTATGATGTGCATTCGCTCGTTATGTCAGTACCAGCTAGTGCGTACGCGTGCTTGGACGAATTCTTCAAAGCGGGTGCACGGGTGGAGTCAAAGCCTCGTGGGTTTTGTGGTGTGTGTGTGTGTGTGTACATACAGTGTGTGCGTGTGTGTGTGTGTGTGTGTGTGTGTGTGTGTTACGGTATATGTGCGCATTTGTATTGCTTATTCATGTGTGTGTGTGTGCGCATTGTATAAAGGATTGAACACCACTGCTCTCATTAACTTATGTACATGTACCTGGATCCATCATATTTTATAATGAATACGGTCCATTTTTATTGCCAATACAAGTGAATGCCCATGAATATTTATAAGCTTAGAACAAAGAGGTGCGCACCCACGTGCCTTTGTTTTATATTGATTTTCTGTCACACCGCTTACTGGTAAAAAAAGACGTTTGGTCTTAATTTGGATATAAATAACAGATGTCACAGGAGATCCGGTTTATTGTATATCCAACTATCATGGTTATCATTCAATGACTCTTCGCTCCGTCGTTTATTAGGCTGTGCAGGCATATGGCCCCGTACGGTACAGAGTAGTGCAACATTTTAAAAAATCATGGCGTATAATCTGAATATATGACTAACCATATACCACTGTTGATGATCCGAGTCTATAGTACATACACAACAGGACTTTTTTATTTTTTATGACGAGAGACCAGACTAACGTTTGTCAACCAGAAGTTGGCCGGTCCTCTATTGGTTCTATTGGGCTTGGACCTAAATAGAGAGTATTGGGTGAGGGACTCAACCTGTGCACACATTGCCACAGACTGGCTGTGCGTGATTTGATCGCATTGTTTGGCAATTTATAAGACTCGTCACATGGTTGTTTGTCGGGTGTATTTGTAGCGCATGGAGGGCAAAAACACAATTAACAAAAAAGCTCAATAAGTACGAGTGCGTTTTTTTAGTGTTAGCTGGGTCACATCCAGGGCGCAGTGATTATCCAAATCTTGTTGACTCCTTTGTTTTTCGCTTAGCTTAATATTTTACATGAGATCCAAAACTTTAAATTTATGCTGATGTATGGATCATCGCTTTAATAGCCATGTTTTTATACCTCTATTCCAGCCAAATATGTGTAATGCGCTTAATATGACAAGGGAATGTATCAGGCTTATCTTGCAAAACATGCCGCAGGCCATTTACAGGGTATACAGTGTAACGTCGTTGATAAGTGCCACCGTCTTGTAACCTTACTAACTAGTACATGTAGATTAGAATGAGTGTTGTCAGTTACGTACAGTAATACATGTAGTATAAGGTGTTCTATAAAAGTTGATTCTTTTGTTTTCGTTTCCGTTGCAGTCCTGGGAGGTTTAATCTACATATAATGTGATATAAATACATATCTATAATGCTCTATGTTAAACCGTTCAGGAATGGACTTAACCATGAGCGACGACACTAAATGCCATTTGCTCTCACTTTAATCAATGTTTGAACAATAATTGAAAGCCTTCTGGGTTAACTGCGACCTCATTTTCAGTGTCATCCACATTACCCCAGTGATTTGTTTCTCATTCACTTTATTAATTTTTTTTAAAGAGGGCTCAGCACAAAATAGACGAGACTGGCTAAGTGCAGTAAAACATGAGGATGAGGCGTTGGTGGATTCTTCTGATTGTGTTAGTTGCGCTGTGCGCTGCTATCAGCATTGTGTGGATGTGCGGCGAGAGACTGGCGCGGCTGAAAGGTAAGATATATACAGACTTGACATTTAATATGGAAAATTTTTTCCAAGTAATTTTTTATCAGTTGTTTTCTATTTTGCTGACTGATAAATGAAAATAAGGACTTAAATCGTGTTTTAATAACTTTAAATTATCTCTTTGATGTCATTGTGATATCAATTCCTTAATGGAATTCGCCAGAGAAGCAAACAAAAACACATTGCCTATTCTATGTCATACGACTTCCATTAAAAAAGATATTTTGGATCTCCATATTTTCCAAATTATCGTCTGTAAAAGAGTTATACGCTCCACAAAAGACCCTCATGTCAGTTGCTATAGTCACAGTAATGGTCGCTGTTACGCCTGGCCTCTTCTGGCTGTTGCCAGCGCTCTCAAGCGGCAAGGCATTCCTTGGGGTAGGTTTTTAGAGTTCAATCTGGAATAATATTCCAGGCATCGGTCTAAAAGCTGCTCATTCCCTTGGTTCTGTAAGTTATCTGCTATTAAAAGTGCTCTGTGTGAACCTGCAACCTCACAGTGCAACCTACAATTGTTCCTAAGGTGCCCCCTATCAAATGATAGTCAAGTGGTTCCGAGATTATTCCTTAATTTGATCTGGTTCAGGTTTTCGTCGATGATTACCATTGGTGTTTTGGCACCAATGTGGTATCCACTCCAAATACTGACGCTGTCAATCACCCTTTTCACTTTAGACCCGGCATATGCTTCGTCGTAGACCTCTTCTGGATACTCTGTTTTGACTAATTGGGCGGTACAGGTGAAATCTGACCTCAATAAAGAAAGCCATGTAGTTTCAGTGTTCTACCCAGAAACGGTCATGGCACCCAATTCATTAGAGAAACAGACGACGATGTTTTGCTGTTTACAGTGGGTGCCTCTGAGGTTGTTTGGTGTTTTTACCTGCTAAACCCAGTTTGTTGTTCGTTAAGGGCTTTGAAAAACGCATTTTGGTGGCAATTTACCCCTCGTCCTGAACGGACTAAGTGTTTTTTGTTTAATTGCAGCAGCGTATCCCGAAAGACAGTGGGTCCTATACCCTGTAGTTAAGATTTTGATACACTGGGGGTGACCTCTGTGTAGGTACATCCGTCTGGGCATTACTCTATAAAACTGTGGGGACCGTTCTGTTTGGCGCTATGATCTGTCTGGTAATGTCTGTCTTTTTTGCGCCATTCTGCCATAGATTAAAAATTTTGTAATGCACTACTTGACTCATCTTCCGCACTGCATAACTGACCGCTTGCATGCAGAATTTCAAATTCTTCTATGCAGTAGTTGTCGACATATGGATACTTTTTTGACAGAACCAAGCTTTGCCTAAGCCAAGCTTTGACCAGCCCAAAGGAACACTTCCCAATTAAATCACTGCATATTACATAATGTAGCAGCGCAACAGACATGAAAG